ATTACTGTAGAAAGATTATAATATCACATTTCTGGAACAAACACTCATTTTCACTGCTGGTACAGCTACGACACAATCAATGTGTAGCATAAAGTCAGAACAATCAATATACATGTGATTGGCTAATTTGACAAACAATTTAATGTCGATACGCGATATTTATTTTAATAGTGATTATGTATTTTTTTAGTCATTATCACCTTTACTAGTGATGCATTCTTCTACTTTCATTACAAAGTGAAAATAAAAAGTGCAAATACCTGGGATATATCATATTCTACAATAAACTTATTTTAAAATTAATGCAGTAAATTAAAAAAAAAAATAGAATATCGAAACAATCTTATTGTTCAAAGTGATTATTACGGTCGTCCGTATTAACGTTCAGATCGGAATGAAAATTTACTATTCTAATTATAATCCCGAAAGTACATCAAATAATGCAATAACGATAATGAAGTAAAAGGAAAGAGCTAATAGCGATATCAATAATGATAACATCAATGATGACCATTACGGCGGATTGGCGGAATTGGACCTTTTAATTAGACCCTAAATCGATCATTTTAAGGGTAATAAATTAATAAATTATATGAACATCAGTTATCTAAAGCTAGTGTATGTTACTTTTGTGTTACTTTATGAAGTAAATTTAGGGTTCAAATTTAAGTATCTAAATAAAGGTCCAATTCCGCCAATCCGCCGTAATGGATTGACAGAAATCGAAAACTCAAAAATTGGGTTTTGCCCGATTTTGCTGAGCACTAAATGTTAATTTTTTAAAAAAATAAATAATGACAAAAAATAAAAAAATCTATATATTAACAATTTTGATCTTCAAACGTCTTTCTATAGCGCAGTTCTTTTATACAACATTTGTTCTAGAGATGGACAAAAAATTTATATATTCTTATGAATTTTTACATATTTTAACACAATCTTACAAATTATGGTAAACTAATACGCCAAAATAAAAAAAAAAACTTCAAAGTTTTAATATTATTAATAAAAAAAATAAATGAATTTAAATTTTAGCAGTAAATTTCAATTTATCACATACAATTAATGATTAATTTAATGATCAAGCTAACCAGTTTTCTAAAGTTTTTCCTTAAATACTATGCGTAGCTTGGATAGAAGATTCAACTATGGCTTCATTATATAATATTAAATTTATCAATGGTTTCAAATTGTTTGCATTAAATTTATCAATGGTTTCAAATTGTTTGCATTAAATTTATCAACGGTTTCAAATTGTTTGCATTACATTTTCTTTAAATTGTTCAAATTATTTCTTGTTATTTGGCATGATTTGACGGATTGACGGTTACATGGGTATCGGCAAGATAATAGCAAAAGCACGTGGTCGAAGGCCTCATGCGTCACAACTATACTGTCGATTAGAGATGCGATCCGGATCGCTAATTTAATTTTATAACAAAATTATTATAAAGAATCCGAATATCCGGATATCCGTTAAATTTTAAATAGGAAAACGGATAATGGATCGCATCTCTACTGTCGATGTCAATGATCGCGTATGGGCGAAAATTTCCAGTCGGAACATTGTGATCTAAATTACTATAGAGTACGTAACTGTATAAAAACTGATAAGAGCTCGTAAATTATCTAAGTAAACTATATTAAAAACTGATAAGCAACTGATAAGTATCTCATAAGAAATTTTACGATGATTCACCAGTAGCCACTCCAAATCTTGCATATGATTGGTTCAAAAAACTTAAAAATTGGAAAATTTCGCCCATACGGTATACCATGCCAGATAACTAGTTTATCTGGCAGGTATGACGTATACACTTACGGAAAGAATTTTATATTACTTCTGCAGATTTTATTTAGAATTTGTCACATGATTATTTGCGGTCAGTGTTTACATAGTACCTGCCGGATAATCAACATTATCTTCCATATTACTAATTTAACATTCGATACAGTATTTTCTGCTTCATTAGAATTAGCTGTATTAGTTTGCATAATTTGATCAAGCTTATTTTCTTTATTTTGAACAATATGATGTGAATTTTCTATCTTGCTAATCCCCGTTAAATAATAAGATAATTTCGAACTTCTAAAGGAAATGCTTGTACATTTCTAATATGAGAACTTATTACTGTGGCAGAGCCAGATATAGGCTTATCAAGATTACAAAATATGCAAAATATGCAGCCTTTTATTAGGTTTAACCGGATGAAAAGCTTACCAAAGAGGGCCTAATAGATGGCCAGTAGGACCAACTGGAAGTTCACAAGCAAATGTCGAATTTGCAAATTTTGTAAAGGCCAACTTGACATTTTATATAAGTATGTTATTAACGTTCAAACAATCGATCTTTCTATTTAACTAAAAAATTTTGCATATACATATTTTAAATTTTATTTGTAATTGATATATGTAATAATTTATGAAATATGTAAGGGTTAAATCTTAGTTATCACTTACATAATTATTACATTGCCCATCTCTAATTTGTTCTGCATCATGTTCGAGAGGAGTCTAATTTATGCATCAGATTGAACTGCATATCATGAGTATAATAGTGAAGACAAAACATATAAAATATTATATTGTTTGCATACTTTACAATAATATATGCTATTTCAATTTAACAATTAGAGTTCTACGTAGTCTATCACCAAAAGAAAAATCAAAAAAACAGCAAAAAGTTTTTAATTAATAAATATTGTATTATACTGCATCTTTCTATTTTCATCGTTGAGTTAAAGATTCATATAAAGATGATTTTAAGTACCATATTGAATAATTAATATTGCACATGTGAATTATGTGAATTAGATATTATTAGAAAGACTAATATACGTATTAGTGATGGGCATATATCGGCAAAAAAAAAAGAAGATTCTTTATGAAATTTTAATATATAGTACAAACGTCCATTCAAAATACTAAATTCTAACTTTAAAGAGCTGTTAGAATGATTTTTATAATATGAATTTTCTCATCTTTAACACTAACCATAAAGAGCTGTCAGAATGATTTTATAATACGAACTTTCTCATCCTAACACTAACCACAATCTGCTAAGCGTTTATCCGGATAATTATCAGATATCCGGATATGAATTTTTACTATTGATATCCAGATATTATTCGAATATCTTTCGGATTATCCGATATCTGAACGATCAGAATTATCCGGATAATTCAGATACGGATGATGGATTTATCCGGATTGGAACTCTTTCAATCATAAAGAGATGTTAGAATGATTTTAGAATACAAACTTCTAACCGTAAAGAGCTGTTAGAATGGTTATTTTGCTTTATTTACTGTATTTACTGTAATTATTGTTCTTATATTACACCAATTATTGCACTTGACTTTTGCTGTCTTCTTTTTACATATCGTGTATTATGCAAGGAAGTTTTGGAAACGCTGATTATTCACCTTTATCCTGCAGGGTATGGTAATAGAGATGTTAAAATCTAACCCGTCGTTTAATGACGGGTCTAACATCTGGTAGTAATAATAAAATAAAATTAAATATGTATACTGTATTAAAAAAAATTTTTTTCTACCAACTTCAAAATTCGCAATTTTGATTGGTCGATCAATGATTTTCCGATAACCGGATTCATGAAAGAGAATCCGAATTTAATCCGGATAGTCCTGAAAAAATAGGATCGAAGCTCTAATTAATACCCAAATGACATCACTACGCCGAGCCTAACCCGACCAGACTAGTTTGGAACATTATTACATGCTACACGGTTTAATTTTAATATTCAATAAATTTTGAAAATGAGAATTGGAACCGTTTAATCGCATAAAAATTGATCCATAGTTCCAGGCCGAATTACTATTATGTCAGTCATTATGTCAGTCATTATGTTACTTATTATGTCACGGACCAATTAACAGAGAGTGTTGTAGGTCAGCAATAATAATAATTATTATTATTATTATAATATGAACTTGGTCATATAATCGTATAACTTTTTGGTCATATAATTAGGATTTTTTTTTTTTACTATGATTTACATTGTCATCAGAAGTGATCAGAAATAATCGATTTCTTTTTTTTGATCTAAACCGCAATAATTTTAAATTTTAACAAAGAATAACAGATAATTTGATTTTTATTTTAACACCACTAATATTGATACAAGAAATTGATAAATAAGTTTTTCGCACATAATTTAATAAATTATAAAGTTGAAGAACAGGTATATATATTATATTAAAATTAGTAAATCAATATACATAGTTATATTCTCGGATATTATTCAAGAAACAGTTCCAAGTCTTAATCATGGGGGTTTTATTTTTTTGGGATATTGTAAGCAGGCCAAAATATCATGCTAATAGATTATATGTATATATATGTTTATATAATCGTAATCATTTGAAGGAGGGGTGAAATTTTACTGTGAGACGTTCTACCGACACAGCATTCACATGATCTATCTATCTTATCAATTTATTTATTATTAATCATGTCAACTTTTGCTGTGCCAATAAGAGAGATAGATCATGTGAATGCTGTGTTGGTAGACCGCTATTTACAAAAAATCCAGCTGATAAATCCTTACGGGATGGTTTTACGATCGATAATTTATACTATAAAAATATAGTATTTATTCGATAAGGCAACTCATGTTGGTGATTGATTATATAATTAAAGGAAATTATTATATGTTAGTGAATCAATAAATTTAGTTTTAATTTCAATCATAAAAAACTTTTTTATTTATTTTTCATAAATATGAATTAGCATTTTGAATTTAGTATAGATTGTTTGCATTATATTTCTGTCTTTATTTATTTGAATAAAGCAAATATCATAAACAAAACAGTTAAGCCCATGCCAGAAATCATCTAACACAATCAAATTGTTGGATTTCATTATGACAAGATAAATTAAGATTTAAAATTTTTGAATTTCTTTCTTATATATTAATCATCTTTCTGTTCACCATTTACAACTGACTTGATATTCTGATTTTATGATTTACATTGGTTCTATTTAAAGTTTTTTCCAATACCAAGCCTATAGTTAAAAAAAAAAAACATATAGATTAAGATCAAATCTATTTATAAGAAAGCGATAGCTCTTAAATCATGACCTTACTTTGGTAATCCTCGATTCAATCCTTCTAGTAACATACATGCTTTACAAAGTTCATTACTAGACATATATCCGCATCGTTTACATACACCTTGTACAGGTAATTTTACCCCGTTTTTTATTTCAAAGGCTTCCCCAGAATGTATGATGTCTTTATAATAGAAAAAATGTTAAAAAATAATTTGGTTTAAGAAAGTTCTATATTAACCTTACCTATAATAGCACTAGGTCGTATAGATTCTAAATCTTTTATGAAAGTCCGTACATGTCCCCGATACGCATTTGGTGAGTATATACACTCAGTCGAAAAATAATCGAGCTTCTTAAAATAAGCATACCTAGAAATTATAAGTATTTAATAATTTCAAGCACATTACATAAATAAAATGAAATCATATTTAATCAAAAATGCATACATAACGATTTCTTTTTCGTAAGTGTATTTAAACGGTTTTGATCTTCGTATACTTCCATCTCCAGACGTACATATCTCGGTACATCGTGGAAGTCGAGCGATATCCCCCCTTAAGACTAAATTTAACAAATTAATGCGTAAAAAAAAACATGCAATATGAAAAAAAAAAAAAAATACAGATTATATTAAACTAACTATTCATCAAAACTGTTTCAGCGATATCATCAGCATTATGCCCCGTCACTATATGATCTACATCCAAGATTACAGCACCTCGATCTAATGCTTGACGTCTGAAAACACCACAAAAAGTACCTAAAAAAAGAATATGTTTGTGTAAATTATTTTGATAGAATTTATAAATTGGTTCTATAAATAACTTACAATTATTTTTCAATCCAACTTCTTTAACAATTTGATCCATACTCCATCCATACAATTCGCTATAAGAAACAATTTTAAGTGGAAGATCATATTGTTGCTGGTTCCTCTTTACAGTCTAAATCCAATATGAATAATTATTAAGTAATGTATATATAATTGTATATTTTCTTTTTTTTTTTTTTGCAATAAAAATTATCATTTCTACCTCCAAAGAGTCATCTCGATAGCCAGTTATTCCTTCATCAATTGACAAAAGAAAAAGATCCAGATCATATTGATATCTTTGATTCAAAAGCTTCATAACATAAGCCAAAACTGTAGAATCTAAAAAAAGTTTTAAAATTAAATAATTCCTTTACAATTTAGTAGAAATTTTAAAGAAATTCATTTACTTATTGACGTTATAAATAAGTAATTATTTTTAAACCTTTTCCTCCAGAAGCCGCAATAGCCACTTTATCACCTTTTTTAAATAATTTATTATCTGTAATGGTATTATGAATTTCTGTTTCAAAAACATAATAGAAACACTCTCGACAAACTTGTTGCCCTGTCTTTGGACGCTTGACAATGGCGCGTTCCTTATTACATATTACACAAAGTCGTACCATAGTGCTTCGCTAAGTGAAAAATATGTAATATCACTTTTTATTGCTTAACCGGTTTTACGATCTGCTTACTACACAAATCAAGGAAAATTTTTTTTTTAAAAAAAAAATTAATAAATTGAACGAGAACAATTTTCGAATTTTCAATTTTAAGAAACTGTCCTACACTAATGCAGGCTGATGATCTTTAAATCATTAATTCTGGCCAAAGTAGGCGAGAATACATTTTGCATGGCTGCGTGAAATGATTCCACAGGGCAAATCAGTTTAGATCTTTAGAAGTATCTCTAGAAGGATATATTTTATTTAGTTGATTGGTTTTGATCGGGATGACATGTTAGATCATTTGGGGAATATAATAAAAATATTTGAAAGTATACTCTAGAATCACGTGACTTATTTAAACCACCAAAACTTTTTATACTGGCCGGTAATAGTAATTTTATAAGCTCTATAAAATTACCGGTCAGTTTTTTGAAAAACCCTTGTATAAAAAGTTTTAGCAGTTTGAAAATTGATATTAAAATAAAATATTAAGATTTATATATAAAATAAACTTTAAAATGCCAAAACTTTTTATGAAGACATTATTTTAAAAATCTGACCGGTAACTTTGTAGAGCTCATCATTAAGAACAAAGTTACCGGTCAGATTTTAAAAATATTGGCTATGTAAAAAGTTTTAGCATTTTGAAAATATAGATGTCTTGCACCATATGTATATTATTGTTCTGGCAATAATTTTTATGAAATAAAGAGAGGGGTCTCGTGCCCTCGCCATTTTTTATTTTAACGCGATTTTTTAATGGCTATTATTCTACCTATTATTAATGCTGTTACATTATTTCAGAAGATATAAGTTTATTACTTTCCGCAACAATAGAATCCTGTTTTTGATTAGACGAAATATTAGGGAATTGAAAATTGGTTTCACGATGAAAAACGTAGAAGTATGCTAGTAGATGGTTGCTCCTATGAATCATCTTTATCATATGATAAAGGGTTTTGTTTATGAGATGTTTCATTATTTCGTAATAGCTTTTTTTCCCGTTTTATTTCTTTAATCTCGCTACTAATCTGTTCTTTATGTACCCGATTTAGAAATTTGATCTCTTTATTTTCAGAATATTTTGTCTTCTGACATACATTGGGATTTGAAGCGTTATCAGATACATTTTCAGATGTATCTGAATTTGAAGTAATGACAGATATATCGGATGCTGAAGCGTTTTTTGGTTTGTAAGTCGATTTGTTCGGGGGTATCGTCTAACTTTGTGATATGGATAGTCTTTTCTTTATCATTCTGCTTCAGTATAGCAAACCTAACTTCATAATCTTTTAAAGTTTGTTTTGACCTTGCATTCTCTATCTCAAGCACATTTTTTTCTTTTACTATTTGTTCTAATTCTGCAATTCTAGTTATAAGCCTGGTATTTTCTAGTTTTAATGAATCTATTTCGGATAGGTCTTTAGTTTTGTTCCCTTGAGTTTGCATATTTAATATTATATAACTTTATCACAAGTGTTTGGAAAGAGAATTTTATTGTACACGTCTTGGAAAATGGTTTTTTATTAGCTAATGCATTTAATTTCAAATAAAAAAATAATGTACGCGTGAATAATTGTTCACATCGATCACTTTTACCCAGAGACATCAATAACGAAATCCACACGCAAAAGTAAACACGATTATGTATGCACCAGGGCCGGCTTTACTTGTATAGCAAAAATAAAATAGACTATAGAACTAAATACAGAGTAATACATTATAGAAAGTTGCGCAACTATGCAAAATAAAGCATCGATCTAAAGTTAATTTATCAACTTTGATTTAGGTAAGCTTCGTTATTCACAAAAACCACATTTATCAATAAATCAAATATGCTATTGAATTATGATTTTCATTCTCCGTTACACAGATCACTCATTGTATCGACCAGTCAAATATCACTACGGGATTAGTCAACCAA